GTGCCACCTCAGATTATTAGAATTAGAGTGTGAAACACAGCAAAGTCTCCAGGTAATCTAAATGCATGTTAAAGCTTCAGAAACATCCAAACTTGTGCCACACACAGATGTCAAATCCGTAGGCATTTGTTTGGTTTTTGACATAATTGGTTCTTCCCATTGTCTCAATCATTAAAATTTTTGGTACATCCTGATTAAAAATGTTTGTATTATGTACCCCAATATATGCACCTGGTTTAACTGAGAACGTAGACCTATGAACAATTCTAGGTAAGTTATAAAGCATAAGAATGGAAATTTTCAACTGAACCAAAGGTAAACACTTTTAGAGTCTGTTGCTAGTTGTGATGATTTCCTACTATCAGTAACTAAAATCTCAAAGCATAATGTACATGGAGGGTGACCTTCGTCATTAATAAATAAGACTATTTTGCATCTCCCTCATGAGAATTTCAATTATTTTTGACTGACAGCACTTACCTCTGATTAGACCATTACTGTTTTAACCTTGTAAGAAGCTGTTAGGAGAGTGGATCATGTTCTCTTGTGCTTGTTTTACCAGTGATTTTGACAAGGGGGCTATTTTTTAAGCCACATGTCTGTATGGTGATGGTTAACATTTTTGAAAGTGAGCAATTTAATCTGTACATCCAATTTTGGGGAGGCAACATATGTCTGTAAAACAGGCCAGATATCCCAATGAGGGTGTCGCTGGCAATCACCTTCCTTAGTCCAAGGTTCCTGATGCCTGTCTTCTGATATAGATGTTTCAAATTTAGGTGCCAGCATCAACTGATGTCACTTAATTGATTACTAATTTCTAATAACTGAGGATCATACACTTAAGTCCTGACATTTCCTTTTCCATGCCAAATCTTATGACTTTGGAGTCTCTTTGTGCAAGAAGTGGAGGTCTCTAGAAATTCTTGTCTGTGCTGCAAGTGGGGAATGATGGCTTTGGCAAAAAGCATCCTTGGGCTTTGAAACTGGGATTTCATAATTTTCAGCACTCAAGAGAAGTTCAGGGCATCTGCAGATGGCAGTGCTGCCTAAGTTCATGGTGGCCATTCTGATTCCTTCCTCTGCTATCCTCTAGAAGGCTGGAATATTTTGGAATTTTGGGGAGAATCCTTGGGGAATATGATGAAAGCTGTGACTTCCTACTCAAGAAAAATGCACAAACAAATTTTCCATTCAATTACAGAGGAATTCAGCGATCCCTTGAAGCTCAGGATGAAGAACCTGTTTAGAAGTGCAAAAGGCAAGTTAGGTTTGGAAGGCCTTTGTCCTTTGTCTCAAAACTTCCCTTCCCTGCAGCTCCCTTGAGTTTCAGACCCTGCTTGCTGCACAGAGGTAGGAAGGAGCTGGAACTTTGCTTTCAAAGACATTTAGGTCTGCAACTCCAGTCTCTCCACTGATTAGCTGGATTAACCTGGGCAGTTTTTCACTCTGTAAAATGGGTTATGATAATCCACACCTTGTAAAACTCCTCTTTTTGTTTGCCCTTCTTCAGCGTTATTGGCCTTCTTGCTTATTCTTGAAATATCTGACCTCTTTCCTGCCTCAGGGCCAATGCATTTCCTGTTTGTTGTGCCTGGAATGCTCATTGCCTCATAATCACATGTGTTCGCTTTCTGTCACTATCAGAAATACCCATGGCCAAGAAGCAAAAAAAGAGAGGAAAGACCAGGGTTCTCTAAATCTCTCCAAGGCCATGTCCCCCTATGGCCTGAAGACCTGCTCTGTACCACACCTCCAAAAGCTTCCACCACCTCCCAGATATGCCAGACTGGGGCCAAGGCCTGTAACCCACCGGCCTTGGGGGACCACCACTGATCCAAACTGTAGCAGCCCATGACCAGTTCCTTCTCACTTCTCACTCAAATGTTATCTCTTTATGAAATCTTTTCCTGACCATAGCGTCTGTATTTAGAAGTTTTAAAGATATGATTCAGTGATTTTTATTATATTCACAACATTGTGCACTCATCATCACTGTTTGCCTCCCATCTACTATCTAATTTTAATAATGTTTCATCACCCTAAAAAAGAACTTTCTCATATCTATTAGCAGTCGCTTCCCATTCTCTGTCTCCCACCCCCAGCCTCTGGCAACTACTGCTACACTTTCTCTCTTTCCAGAACTGCACATTCTAGATATTTGCTATACATAGAATCATATACTATGAGGTATGATAAAATATAGTTGATGTTTAAATTAAAAAGTTTATTACAGTAAGAGACACATTACCATTAGTCGTCCTCAAAATACTCTCCCTCACATTTAATCTGCGATTTTCTGACGTAGTTCTAGAAGTCCTTTTTTGTGCCTTCAGCTGTGCTCTTGTGCCTGCCTCACTTTATTGAAGCAATTCAAAACATTCACTTTTCATGGTCATTTTGATTTTGACTAGAAGTCACGGGGTGCCAAATCCAGTGAATAAGGTGAAGGAAGGCACTCTGTAATATTTTCACAAGCCTGCCTTTCCTTTGGATGTGCCCGGTAGCCGTCTTTATACTTTTATGATATAAAGACACTCATAAAAATGAACTTCTAGAAGAACTTCTTCAGGAAGTGGCAAGAATAATGAAATAAATGTGACCCAAGTGAGGGGGAGTATTTTGAGGAGAAGTATTGGCAATGCGCCACTTACTGTAATACACGTTTTAATTTAAACATTCACTGTATATTTTGATTGTGCTCATTATGCAGCTTTTTGTGTCTGGCTTCTTTCACGGGGCACAATGTTTTCAAGCTTCATTCATTGTAGCTGATGTCAAGGATTCATTCATTTTCATGTCTAAATAATACCCCATTTCATATTATTCCTTTTGTGATCATTCATGTTGATGGAGATTTGGATTGTTTCTACTTCCCGCTGTTGTGAAAAATGCTGCTTATGCACCAGTCTTTCCTGACTGCATTACTCTTTGTTTGCTTGTTTATTTGCAGTCCTGGTTTATTCGTTTAACATGTTTATTTTTTATTCTCTCCCATAGAGTATAAGCTCCAGGAAGGCAGCGACCTCGTTCATCTTGTGCACTGCTGTATCCCCTGGGCCTTGTACCATGCACAGCACATAGTAGACAATAAATACCTGTGGAATGAACAAAGGATTGAGCTCTGTTGTTATTCTCCATCTCTTAGTGGACTCTATCTTTTCCTCCAATTCATGTGAGACTCTTGCTGTGCTGACCTAGGTCACCCTGAGATTTCTCACCAGCTGTGGTTCTTGCCCCACAATATTATCGCACCATTATCAAGCATTCCCTGGAGTGCAGGACCTCTACTCTCCTAGCAGAGTCTCAAACTTGAATGTGTAGCAGCCACTCTTGGAGGGTTTGTGAAGATGCCCTTCTTGGGCCCCTAGCCCTGGAGTTTCTGACTCAGAGGGTCTTTGTGGATGGAGACATTTCCATCAAGTTCCAGGGACTGCCAGTGCCACTAGCTGGCAGTCCAAGGTGTGAGATTCACTGCTGTGGTGGATTTCTGCAGAGTGGCTGGGGCTGCTGAGCTGATAGGTGGTCTATGTGTGGCTCTCCCAAACAGTTCACTTTCCTTCTCTCTTCCCATATGTGGATTCAGAGGGTGCTGGTTAGCTGGGGACATCTAGCTATACCCTACAATATGGCAATATCACTTGTGGGTATGTAGACCAGGGAAAATACTCTCTGATCAAAGAGGAGGCCCATTGATTGTAGTGTGGTTCACAGAGTTCAGAGTGCTGGTGCCTTTCTAGATGTCCATAGTCAGGGAAGTGATGAACAGAGCTGATGGTCTACTGGATTGTAACGAAGCAGCTGGATGTTTGTAGCTGGCATCTGTTCTGGTTGGTTGGTCCCTCCACCTTACTAGTTGTTGCATGTGGAGACTGTCATCCTTGCAGGTGAGTGAAATTTGGGAACCGCATACAAAGGGATACTATGCAGTGGTTTTAAGGGATGAAAGAAATTCATGTTCAGCAACATAGCTGAGTCTCACATTGCATGAAAGAATGGAAGAAACACTGAGGTGTATAGTTAAAACATGATTTATATGAAACAGAAGATAAACAATAATACCTACTATGTCATATAACTTTTAAGGACATTCATGTATTTAAACACATGATAGAAGCTAAAGTGGAAAACTGCATTGGTAGACCTGATCTTAGGATGTGTTACCTGTTTGATAGTTGTCTTTCTTCTGTTCTATATGCAAACATTGAACTTGTAAGCTAATTGTGAAGGTCATTGCTACAGTTTGAAATTTATTCCCATCTCAAAACAAAACAAAACAAAACAAAACAGACTAGTTCAAATCCTTGCACCACAACTTTCTACCAGTGTGACTTTGAGCAGGTTAATTCATCCCTCTGAGCCTTTGTTTGCTCATCAGTGAATGAGTAAGAAATTTTATAAAGTGCCTGCTTTGTTAGCACGGTGACTGGCTTATGGTAAGTACTCACTAAACAGTAGCTATTGTTACTAATATCGGGCCATTGCTATATATGAAATGTTGACGTCTGTGTTAGGTATAAAGGAAGAACTAAATCTATGGAGAGGAGGTGGGAGTGGTGGTGCACTCCTGTAATCCCAGCACTCGGGAGGCTGAGATAGGAGGATTGTTGTGAGTTCAAGACCAGTTTGGGCTACAAAGTGAGTCCAAGGCCAGCCTGAACTACATAGTGAGACCCTGTCTCAAAAAGAAAAAAAAAAGTGAAAAAAAAATCTATGGAGAGGAGGTAAGATACATGTATTTATCATTAACCCTCTCAGAAGTTTATGGGGAAGATAATACAGTTGTTGTGAAGAGCTTGTGAATGAGTCCATGTAAAGCCATTAATCTCTAAGTGACTTTATTTATTGCATACATATTTTTTCTGTCCCACTCCCTTGGGGAATGGTGCCTCTATGGAAGAAATTACTGTGTCTTTTGTGCACAAGAACCCTACTTGGCCCAGAGCAGGTATATGACATTATGTTTAGATTTAACAGATTCCAATCCTTTCTCCTTTCAGGGCACTTGCAGATGTCATGAGGCCACAGGGTCACTGCAACACTGATCACATGGAGAGAGACCTTAACATTGTTGTTCATGTCCAGCACTATGAGAACATGGACACGAGAGCCCCTATAAACAATCTGCGTAAGTACAGCTCTGTGGACCATGTCTAGTCCCACATGGTGGTGACCTGTGCAATGGTTATGTTGCCAAATTTCATAGTGTGTTTGGGTCAGTTAAGAGCTTCTCTTTGTGGATGAGTTAGATGTTTTATTTTCTCTTTTCTGGATGAGACTGAGTTTGGCATAATCAGATTTCATGTGGTTGTAATATGTTAAATAGGGATTCTCTTCGTTGGTTTCTTATTGTTGGCTTCTTTGTTGGCTTTTCTGTTAACTAGTAGAGAGTTTGATTGATACATCTTCATCTGTTAACTATTAACTAATGGGCCCTCTTGCTTTGTTAATCACGGTTGGGCATTTAGTTAGTCCCTGCTGCATTTTGTTGGTTTATTTTGACCATCACCTGTTAGACAATAGTCCATGCACTTAATTATCTGACTCCTGAAGTAGATCAGCTGATAATTTTAAGTTTTAGGCTGTTTTCAGTTAAATACAAGTTCAAAAGATTAAAACCAGAGTTTCATGAAAACAATGCACAAAACACTCTGTGTGTGTGTGTGTGTGTGTATGTGTATGTGTCTGTGTGTGTGTATGTGGCAGGTACTGATTTATGGTCTTGATAGTTTGGAATAAGCGTGCAATATTCAATGGGAGCAAATTTGGTTTCGTTGTTCAGCCAGAGGGAAAAAGCTGCTTTTGCTACTGCTTTTCAATAGGTCTTTTTCAGCAGCCAGAGCATACATGGAGATCTTGGTATACTCCCAAAGATTTTTTTTCCCTTTCAAAGGTCTGTATATGCAACCTACATTATGGAGCTGGAGCGGATGTTCTGACTAATGGGACTAATGGGAGTGGAGGAAAAATAAGATTGTTTAGTTTTTGACAGTTGCATACTACTGTGGTTATTCCTAGTAATTATGTTTTCAAGTAACCCCCACATTAAAGTAATGTGGAGGGCTTGGTTTAAAATAACAGAAGCCAGACAACTCAGAAGATGCATTTAGTTGTGGCTGGAGGTGCCTGAAAACAGAAACTACTTTAGGGCTGCACGTTTTTATAGTCCAAGCTTCTTTTGTTGAAGCTCTGCTAGGAGTTGCATGGTTGTTTGATTTGCTAAATCATAGACTTGGACTGTTTGGTTGCAAATTTTTGTGTTCAACAGGTCTAGGAAGAAGCCTGCAGAATATAACATAGGTGATGTGAATTCTTTGATTTTGTGTGGTGATAATTTTTTGTGATATCAGAAATTTTTGCTGTGTGTTTAGCAGGGTTTATATTGGTTGAGAAATGGATCACCAGATGGAATATTTTTATTGTATTATATTAAATAAATTGACATTATTTATGAGTTAGATCATAAAAATATTAGAAATAGCCCCAATTTAGAATAAAATATACCAGCAGTTAGAACTTTTATGACCAAACTCACAGCCCCAAAAGATGTGGTAAATGACACCAACTCTGAATAGCGATTGCTATGTTCAGTTTTGGTTTTGATGGAAATGAACACATTCTCTTTCAGATGGCACTGCAGGTAAGTTGAACATAGATGTATGTGGGTCCCAATATAGCTAAGTGAACATGGTTATGAAGCAGACATATTGACACAGTATTGAGTTCCTGGCTACTAAAAGTGGCTGTTCATAGGTTTCTCACTTGGAGTTTCAATCTCAAGGATGACTGGGAGTCACTGTCAAATGGAATAACAGACTCATTGAAGTTACCCAAGTTTCATCCAGGCAAAAGGTCAGGGAGACATTAATGAATGCTGTTTAAATAGGAGACTTTTGTTTAGAGTTGCACTGAAAATAAATTAGTGATCAGAGATGGATATGTGGGTATTAAGTAATTCACAAGTATCCTGTGTCACACTATCTTGATTTATACTTTTTGGTTTTGGTCTATATTTGTGCCTCAATAATTGATGATCTTTTACACCAAGGGATTACGTGTCTTGTAATAATCTAATAAATGGAACTATACTGAAACATTCCTGGTCAGCCTCAGGGAGTAATATGCAGTGTGTTTTTATAAGAATTGCTACAGCTGCTAATCTCATATAAGCTTGTCACATTGATCCAGTCTTTTTTTCCTAGCATTTTTGACTCTATCAGAATAAAAAGTAAGAAACATGGCATTTCATAGATTTATATTATTAAGTTTAATTTGTGTAACATTTCAATTCAGTAATTAATAGTAATAAGACTTTTTGGTAATGGCATTTTTTAATTGATTTACAGGAGCTACTTACATATCATAGACAGAAAAAATCTTATATTCATTTTTTATCTTCTTAATATTGATACTAATTCACTTTTTGATCTTTCCTTTATATTTGGGTCAGATGATAAGAGAACTAACATGTAATGTAGAAAACTAGGTGTTTGGAAGTGGGGAAGGGGGTGAGAATAACTTGGGCAAAGGCAAACCAGGAGGAAAGGGCTCCTGTGAGGGCCACTTTTTACCAGCCTTTTTCAGTAAGTTTTTGAGCTGATTTTTCCTGTTACATGCAAGACTTGCCTTTTCATCTAAAGACGGATTTTTCTTCAGCTGATACTGTTCATGTTCTTTCCAGGCATTCTGTGATATTGCCTAAAAATATTTAGGCTGATAATCAAAAGGACCTTGACCTCTTTGATTAACAGGATGTAGATTCCAGTGAGATAGTGATTTTCTGAAAAATGCTCCTCAGCTTCTGTGTAATTATAGTTTGCTTTTCATGGCAGATTTTGTCTTTAAGTTCTATGAACACACTCTGCCTCTCCCTCCCCAATCTCCATTCAGTCTTCTTCAGGATAGGAGATGTGGGTGAGGGGCTGTTGTGTTTTCCAACTTGTTGTGTTATCACAATTTTTGAAATAGAACTTTTGCTTTGGAATAATCTTTTATTTACAGAAATGTTGCCAAGACCTTACACAGAGTTCTGTACACTCCTTACCTACTTTTCCCTAATGTGAACATCTTTCTTACACGGGACATTGGGCAGAACTAGGGAGACAGCACTAATAGATTCTTTTTAGCTGTTTTATAGACATTGTTTGAATTTTACTAGTTTCTTCATGCATAGCCTCTTTCTGTTCCAGAGTCTAACCTGGGACACCACATTGTCTTTAATATAGAATTTTGTAATGGTAGAATTTTGGTTGTACAATATAGTAGTACAATGATATGGTAAAGAAAAAATAACACTAAGTCCATTGCCACAGTACAGAAATTGTCTCCCAGCCTCTATAATGACATCCATATAGTTATTTACTTGGTCAGTATTGGAGTTGGACCATTACTGCCTGAGATGTGCTCTGGGTACATATTAATGGAACAAAATACTCTTATGTCCCTGCACATATGCAAGACTACTTTGGCATTTAGTTGATGTCAATTATTTTATAACATCATATGAGCAAGTGTGATACCCCTCAAACGGGGGACAAATGCTAACTTGATGTTTTAGGACCTAGAATCTATTAGAAAGAGCAGGCTTCTATGTTCTAGCTTCATTCCCTAGTCCTGTAGGATGATTATGAGGTAGATTTACAAGAAATCAAAAGCAGATCCATAACTGAATTCTTGAAGACTTTGTGAAGCACATATCAAGGTCTATTCATTTGTGTATATTCACCAAGGTGCCCAAGATACCCCACACTTGACTTTTGGGAATACTACCAGGGATATTTCTCAATATGTTTAAAAACTGGGGACAATTTCCTACCATGAAAGGCAAAGAGCTAAATATAGATATCAGAGTTTATAAAAACGGAAACATTATGAAGCCTCAACTTAAGGGATCCTCAAAACTTACTGTTTTTGCCATCATAAAGATAGGCAAACTGAAGCTCAGAGAAGGTTAGTAGCCTGCATAAAGTTTGCATAGATATAAATTGGTAAAAATGGGATTTAAACTGATTCAGTCATGCCCTCAGATCTGTGATTTTAATGAGCACACTAGATGGTTTGTCTCGTGGTACAGGTATTTGCAGAAAGTATACATTTCCCCCTGGAAGCAGGCATTATTGAAGGTTATGATAAGAGAATGGAAGCATCCTTTGGCCCTCCAGGAAAGAGTTCTGTTTCCAAAGTGTGACTCTAACTTATCCTGCTAGAACCTTGTCTTAGGAGGAGTGGCATTTATTGAGCATTTGCTGTGTGGCAGGCACTGTACTAAGTGCTTTGACAGTATTGGCTCATTTAGTACTCAGGACACCTCTCATATAGCCACGCACTTGTTTCTGTCCGTATCATGTGGCTCCCAAGCTTTTATGAGTCTGGCCTTTTCCGTTGTACTTCTTACCCAGTTTGCTTATCTCCTTAGAGAGGCCCTCCTTGCTTTCTGGCTCCCAAGTCACCAGATGTTCCCTATTTCTGCATAATTTTCTTTATGGAATTTTGTTTCCTCTACAATTGTATGTTTATTATTTTATCCATGACTTTTCCATAACAGTGTAAACTTCATGAAGAAAATGCTTTGGGGCCAGGAATTTAGTTCAGCTGCTCAAGCGCTTACCTGGAAAATGCTTTGTCCAGTCCAACTGTACTCCCACACGAGGAACAGAGCTGGGTTGTAGCAGCAATTTAATAAATACTTTTTGAAAAGCCTATTGGAGAGGCACCGTTGTTCCTATTTTATGAACAAGAAAACTGAGATTTGGGGAAATTAACGAACTTATCTAACATGATGCCTGATATTTGTTTTAAAAGATACTTCAGAAAAAGTACAAAATTGTGGGCAATTATAGATGAAATAAAATTGGAAAAATATTGCAGCTAGGTGACAAAATACCTGGGGATTTATAATTCTTTCTCCCCTTTGTTCATATATATTTGAAAATATGTAAAAAATAGAAGCGTTGTCCATAATATGACGGTTAATAAATAAATAGAGTATCCAGAATTCAAACCTAGGTCTGTCTGGCTCCATAGCTTAGATGTTGTTAGATGCACATGGGTTACTTCATGGTGCATGTTCAGGTATCAGGAAGGATTGGAATCAATCAGTGCATCTTGTGGTTAAAATTATCCAGAGTG